ATCTTGAAATGTTTACAAATATTGCACGATGTAAATATGACGAAGCTAATGTGGCAATCATGAATGCATTCAATCCTATGGCGCAACAATTTCAAGTATGCTTCATTATTCATGCTGACTTGTTATATTATTGCCTTTTTCATATTCTCACCTTTTTATGATTATTATAGGCATTGTTGCAACAAGTAAATACTGGTGTTGTCCACGATTATTTGACAATTTTAGATGTCATTGAGAGTAATGATTTTTATTGTTTGCTTTGATTAAATTGTAATTTTTATAGGTCTAATAGGTTATTTCATTTTTATATTTGGATACAGCCAAGTTTGCTTGGTTAGTGTACATGATTGGAGGTCTTATCGGGGGTAGACAGGTGTATATTAATTCTTTTTTCAAGCCATCGACTTTATACATTGTAGTATATAAACTCATCATATTCATTGCAAATAGACTTATGTTAGTACGGAAGATCAAGATTTGATCGATGGCGAACTAACATGTAAAGTTGTGAATCTTTTAACTGCAGTCAAGTCATGGAATGGCCCGGTGTTTATCTTATATTTTTTATCTACTTGTATTTACGCCTTTTAAGCGAACTAACTTAATGATACATCTTAAATAGCGTGGCAATGATACTGGCTATGAAAAATTAGAATTAGCTTTTATATACTTCTTTCAACAATTTCGAAAAAGCTATATTGGTGAAAGTGCCCAAAAAATATCAAAGGTATACAGTAAATTATCCGATCAACTTGGAATTAATGATCAGACAATGGTATGTTACATATTCAGCTTTATTGCTTATTTGATATATTTAAAACATCGTTAATTTCATTCTTATTTTGTTATTATTATAATTTTTCTTTCATACTTAGCTTCTAGATTTAATTGTGCAAAAAATGTACGTAAACTAGTTATGCTTTTTTTTTTTTAATTCTTTAGATAATTAAACATTTTTTATTCAACATATAGAGGATCAAATCTTAATATGTGGGCTCAATGTTCAAAGATAGTTCAACGGACTGTGGCTCTCTTTAATGATTTGGCCGGAGGGTATGAAGTTATATTAGTTATTTAATTTAATATTGTTAAACTTGATTAAATATTTAATGTATTAACTTTCGATTTATTTGTTTCATAATTTCCTTCCAGCTACAGTTCTGTTAGATTACTCCGCAATATTCCAACTACACAGTTCATTATCCAAAAACATACTGTTAAAGATTTTCCATTTCTTGACGCTCAGAATAACCTACGGACGCGTATGATATATTATTCAGCACTTTCTAGAATATTATTTGCTGATGATAATGTTGAACGAGATTTTGAGGAATTTGTCAGGCCTTGGGATATTACAATGGCTCAACTCGGTGCTTTAAATTCTTTTGAAGCTTTTAGACAACCGGCTGTTAAAGTATGTTTAAATGTTTATGCTATATACATATAACAACCAGGTTATATTAAGTTAATTTTTTGGTTTCCATAGCACAAAATTTAAGTGATCCAACAATTAGTTTATTTACTTTAAATATTTCATTATGTGAATTTTCAAAAATTTACAAAACTGACCTGACCAAATTATGAAACCAAGAAATTAAGTTTTTAATGGCCTTAAATTATTTACACAGAAATAGAAAATTTTTTTAGCTAATATATTTCAATTCGACTAATTAAGGCAACACTCTCAGGAATATTCCGTGATTTGAGAGGATTCCTTTCAGCAATTCAAGGCCGAAAGAATTTTTTGATTTTTTTTGAATGGTTTTATCCTAACTATATGCAGATCCTTTGTCGTGCGCTAGAGGCTTGGTCTGATGACGTATTAGCCATTACAATTCTAAAGTTCTTCCTCGAATTTGTAAATAACCGAACACAAAGATTGAATTTTGATATCTCATCACCGAATGGTATATTATTATTTAGAGAAACAAGGTAATTGTAGAGCTTACATTTTGGTTATCATTGTTGTTTTGCATAATTTTGTACTGTTAATTCAATTATTTTTTCAAAAAGCAAAGTGATATCTACATATGGTAAGTTTCGCTTGTTGTGGACTTTATATTGTTCAACTTCTGTTTCACGACTTTTTTATTTTTTTTTATTTTCAGGGCATCAAATTAAAAATCGCCCTCTAATGAGTCTTGACAAATACATTGAAAAGTAAGTCCTTATATAATAATCTCGCATACATTTACTATAATATTTCTCTAAAAATTTTTATATATTGACAGATACAAGGG